ACTTAGTTTAACATTTTTTTACAATTAATGATTGGCGAAACTAAGTTCAAAATTAAAATAACCATTAAATAAATGTGTTTTTTTACAATGTTACTTTAGTGTAGCTATTATAATAGTTTCTTTCAAAGTTTTCAATATCAGAGATACAAAGAACATAATAGTGCCGCATAAACCAGAAATATTATTAATACAAAAGAAATGCGTTGTAAATTTCTGCTTAAAAATATTATCTTTCAACCGACTGGTTAACTGTTAAATAAATTACTTGCTGATACATTTGTATGTGTAGGTATGTCATTCGGCCCCATTGGCCCTTACTCACAAGATACGTTGGTCATAATAATATCGGCTATGAGAATGTTAATTACATAAGTATTTTAAGGTAGATAAACTTACGGATAACGCTGTAAGTTTAAAATTAGTGTGTTTTAATTTGCTAAGTCTTTGTATTTGTGTGTGTTGTGCCTATTCTTGACTGGCTGGTTAGCCCACTAGTAAGTGACCCTGACTGCTAAGCGAGCCCGGTTACAATAGTATAGGTTTACCTCTGGGATCAGACGGCCGTGTGTGAGATGTGTCAAGCTATTATAATTGTTATAAGGTTTAAAGTTCTTTAAATGAAAATTTCTTAAAAAAAGCTTTTGTCTAAAATGTTTCGCATAACAATAGTGTTATTGCTACGTGACTGGCAGCAACTATAAAAATATAAAACCAGCCAATATTTAAACTCAAACATTTGTTTCAGATTACGGTCTTGCATCTTTAAAGTCATTGTAATTTCTTTGTACAGGCCCTTTTTTTTTTAAGTCCACATGTTAAATAAAAACTATAAGTCCCCTCCCGGCACCATTGTTTCATAGTTTCACAGACAATTTCCTAGAAATATCTCCAATAATGTGCCGTATCTATTCACTTCCTTTCCGATAATAAATATTCTTTGCTGGCCTATTGTTTGTGAATACAAAAATTATATTTTAATCGTTATTTGAAGGATACTTTTTTTGCTAGAATTACTTCGCTGAGCCATACTTGTTCGACTCTATTGTTACTTTTATTGAACTAGACATTCTTATTTCGTTCGATAATAGTGAATCATGTCTCACTTTTAACGTTTATTATATTTAGGAATGTTTGATACCTGAAGTAAGTTCTCGTATTTAGGTACCAGAATACCAGAGGTACTTAAAAATGTATTGTTTAAAAGGTTTTAAACAAAAATGAGACATGTAAAATGTCAATACTTAAATCACGCTAAAGTTACACACACTGGTCAAACCGATACATACGGCAGAGCACAGATCAATTCACGACAATTGAATAATCCATGATCCACGGTGATTAATTCACGATAGTATAGAATATGTCTGTCATGTCACTCTGATCGTATACTAGGCAGAGCCTATACTACTATACTATCTACTAATAAAGTACTAAATACACATATCATCATCATCGCCAGCCTTTGATAGTCCACTGCTGGATATAAGCCTCTCCCTAGAAAGGAGGTTTTGGCCTACTATACCACGCTAGACAGACGGGTAGCTATAGAGTTTGTTTTAGGTTTGCCTTCTCTATGAATTAGTACACATACACACATTTTATAGATAAATTACGCCCATACCATTCACGAACAAATGATCGTGCTCATCACCTATTATTTGTCCAGGGTGAGAATTAAACCCACTACTTCTGGCTTAGCAGTCAGTATCACTAACCACTCGTCCTACAAGCCAGTAAGATTGTGTAGTCAAATACTTTGTCTGTTATCAGTGTAAATACACACATACTATAGCTAAATTACACCTAAACACAGAACAAAATGATTGAGCTCCTCACAAAATTATTTGTCCAATTATGAGTCGAACCTAAGACTTCTGGCTCAGCGGTCAGGATTACTACCACTAGTCCAACAGGCCAGTCAGATTGTGTAGTCAAATAGTTTGTCTGCTGTGTATTTAAACTATGGAATTAAAGTTACAATACAAACTTATTACTATTACCACACAGGTTTTTAAAGTACTTTTTTAAACTATAATCACTGAGATTAAAGGAAATTGCCTTGACTTTTTTTGATTATCTGTTGTGGTTGCAAATCTGCCTAAGCCATATTAAAGCAAAGGATGGGAACAAAAGGATAGTACCAAAAAAAATTATGTGATTCACTTGGGTAGCGTGAACAGAGATCATAAAAAAAACCGAATCGAAAAAGTACGGCTCTGACTCTCACACCGTATGAATTTGTATGCAGATAGTCCGCACATCTTGATAAAAGTTAACCATTTTTATAAAGATAATCTTCATTTTTCTGTTCTAAAAGTACTGTCTCAGACTCGATATACCTACGTACGTAATGGTGAATGTTATGAGAGCAAAAATTGGTATGTAATCGCAAAAACCATTTGTTTTTGCGATACTAGTACTACTACTTTGCGATACTGCGTACCTTTGATTCTGCTGTAATCGACCTTGACAGACCTTCCTTCCAGACAGGCAGAACCGTGCATCCGTCTAAAAAATCTTTTGCTTTGTTGTTGATGAAAGCAAACAGCTGAAATTTGGTACGTATTATCTTTAATATACATACTATCAAATTGGTTGTTAATTTATTTATTTATAATAAAAATAAAAATAAAATAAAATGACACTTTTTATCACGTTCCTAACCACTATCTATGGTCTCTATCTATAACTTGGTTAGTAGCACTGATATGATGTATAATAACAACTTCAACCATCACATCCTCTCTTTTCCTCCACCGAACTCAGTGGAGAAGTATATACCTACTCTACATGAGAATAATTTAATTCACACAGTGATATTAACCACATCAAAACAAATGATAAAAATACAATTATTACATTATCCAGCCTTCAAACCTTACCTAAACTTTGTAACTCTATTCCCAGTTTTCATGACAAATCACAATGTTGCGGAAAAAAAATGCTGTGTGTTTTTCTGGTAAATGTTTTTGACCTAGTTGTTTTTTAATAAATACCCTTTCCAACCATATAGAACACTTACAATATTTACTACAAAAAATTTGAAGTATACTCATGTTCAGGTGTTCTGATATATTTAAAAGGCTCCGCTTAAAACTTAAAGTTCAAGGTGAAGAACTAGTACCAAAATGTACATTGTAGTCCATTTTATTAGCGTTAAATGATGATGATGATTAGCGTTATGTTACACATTTAAATTAGTGGAATCATGCAGATCTGGGTAGTAGAAAAATGAAAATTGATTTACGACATGCAACTCACGCTTTCATCTCAAAATGCGCAGCCCATTGACACCTACAACTAAGTGTCACAAGCGCCATTGCATTTGACGGCCTCGGTGGTGCAGTGGTAGCGTATGCGACTGCTGTGCTGAGGTCTTGAGGAGGATCGATTCCCGGGTCTCACCAAATGTTGTATAATTTGCAAATATTTGTTTCAAAATTTGGGTGTTTTCTATGTATGTATTTACAAAAAAGAGTATAACAGTATTCTATCAGGCAATCTAGCTTTCATAGTACAAGCTCTGTTAGTTAGTTTAAAACTAGATGGCGTTGTTTGTTGACGTCTGAAAATATTATTATTATTGCCGTCCTTTGAGTCCTTTTATTAAGAGGCGGAGGAGTTTTTTAACCCCGGTAGCCTCACACTTGGTGAAAAATATCGAACAAAGTGCTCAACACGGATTTTGGTGAGGTCTTTCCTATCGAGCCGGCCATTTGTGCGAAAGCGTGGCTCGTGGGTGCTAAAGTTATTTTCAATTACTTCAATTTAAGTGACAAGTATCAAAAGCATTTAAGCATTTTCCTTTAACTGTATCAATGAATAGTTAACCCATTCAGAGATTAACGAGATTAACGAACCTGTCATAACATGTTAACCCTGCAAATCCACCCGTATCAATTCAAGTGCCCGTATGACCAGATTCGCCCACTTTACCTCATTTATAAAGATATCAATAACAAGATAAACTCCCCATGCAATTGTATGACACTCACCATAGTCGAAATTTAATTGATTATTTGTGAAATGACGAAATAATTTTGTGTCGAAATTATTGTGGGTCCGTCAATTGTGCAAAAGGAGGGGTAAAATTTTGGAAGTTTTTCGAGATTATAACAGCCGCTGTTGATATAGCGAAATGAAATCGAATTGATTTTACGTGTTTATGCTGTTAAATGTTTAAGTCTTCTGTTGATGCATGAATTATTGTTCATTCGACGTCTCCTATCTTGGTTTACGTTTCTAATGCTTGTGCGTGTGTCGTTGACTGCGGTGTTTATTGGTTTACAATAGGTATAACCGTCGGTAAATTACGATTCTGCTAACCCAAATGTTGTTTCAAAACATAAATACATATCTAAGAACCTCTTTGTACTTTTATGTGTTGTTTTGCTCACAATTCACGTACCAATTTAAAATAACACATTTCAATCGTCAGTTTTATATTATAAAACAAGTCAATTTATAGCTTTGCACATTCTATCAACGCGTATGCTATTTATAATTAGTACTTAAAAAAATTAGTTATGAAAAAGCGTAATTACTTCAAGGCTGGGGACAAAAATGTTGTATTTTGCATAAAGAATAGAGGCTATAATCGTTTGTATGTTTAGTTGTTGTTATTGTTTAGTGAGCAGGTAGGATTTTAAAATTCGTAGTTAGATAGTCTGGCGACAACCCCTGCGCCGCCAATGGGGTGGAGCAGAGCCGTCTCGTGCCTCGCGTCGTCCTGCTCGCTCGGGACCTCACTTCGTTTATCTCTGTCTCGCCTATTATTGTCATATCAAGATTCGAACATTGCATTTTGTTTCCAATTTTCAATTTAGTTAAGATTGGATGTTGGCAACAGCAAGACGTCTGGCGTGCCGCCATTCATTGTGCACGTATTTATGTCGCGCGTTTGACTTATTTACGTTTAAAATATTAGTTCGTCGCGTAAATGATTACCTGTACCAAGTGATATTGAGTGAGTTATTTGACTTCCGTAAGAGGTGCATTTAATGGAGTTCATAGAATATCTACAAGCGTTCATGGCGGAGCACATGGCTCAGGGCTCGCGCAGTGAGCCACCTCCTCAAGTTTCGGGCACCGAGCCAGCTCCTCAGGTCTCGGGCATGGAACCACCTCCTCAGGTCGCAGGCATGGAGCCACCTCCTCAGATCTTGGGAAGCGAACCACCCCCTCAGGTTACGAACAGCCAGACATCGCCTCAGGTCTCGAGCAGTGTGCCACCACCTCCGCCTCCTTCACAAGCCAAGATCAAGATGCCAAATTTTTTTGAGGTCGATAAGAAAAGGGTAGGTAGATCTTTATGAATAATTAATTACAATAGTTACTATATTTATTATTTGTTAGTTTTGTGTATGTGTAGTAGGTGCCTTAGATTTAGAATTTTACTTTAATTGACAATAATTATGAAGCTATCCATATCTAAATTGATCCCAAGATTTTCACGTCGTATAAAATGCCTCGTTCTTGTGGTCGTCATCTGAAATTCAGTGGTAGTTTATGGTATTGCGGATATAATAAAAAAAAATTGAGGAATTGTTACAGAACATGATTTGAAATGTATGTACGTAATGAATGATTTTAATTGTGACCTGGTGTTTTGTAATCAAAGGTTTACGAATTTTCAGTTTTGATTAAACTTCATAAAGTTGTTTTGTGTTAAACAATGTCAAATTCGACTTTTAAATTTTTGTTTAGGAACTACTGAACAACTTTTACGTCCGTAAGTGATAAATCACACGATTGCATTCGTGTGATTACATTACAGCTAACAGAGTAAAAAGTTTTGGGAGATAAGATTTCGAATTTAAAGTATTTTTGACATGTGGATATCAATTTGAAATTTGAAAAAAAAAACCAGGAAACAATTGTTGTTTGTCATTTATTTAACGTGTTAGGAGTTTGACTTTTATGGATGACTTATTAATTATTATCAATCTTAGTTCTTATAACTAATTTTATATCATTAAGATACTGTTATAGTATTGTGTACTTAGAGATAAAAATGTAAGTATTTCTATCTCTAAGTACTTAGGTATTTAATTTATTTCATATTAATGATTTTGTTTATATGAAGAATCGCTAACGACCTCAAGTGATTAAATAAATAACCGTGTCAATAAAGGATTTTTGTTTTCTTAGGTTAATATATAAGTACCGTTATTATAATTATTATAAAATACCAATAATTGGGAGTACTAATAGCATGTGTAAATTAGCATATATTGTAAGCATGTCGAAGAATTATCAAACTATTTATAAGTGGTATAAAGATAAAGGGGGGCTCGTGGCTAAGTTGAAACCGAGTAGGTTAACACATTGCAAAGTTAAGCAGTCCCAGCCAGGTCAGTCTATGGATGGGTGACCATTCTTAGTACATTGACACCCTTCCGTGCCTCGGAGAGCACGTCAAGCTGTCACCGCGTCAGTCCCGGCTGCCATACGAACATCTGTGGCAATCGTATCGGGTATTTGGAGCCTAAGATTTAAAGCCTAAAGGTTAAGAAAAAGGCTCGGATGAAGATCTTGAATAATACCTTAGAATGCTACAAGTTGCATAGCCAGTTTGCCGATCTATTATATTTACCGGCCACTCAATAAGGCTTTGAGAAATTCGTGCTTTTACAATTTTCTTAGTGTGCATGTTATTTTAAGACTAAATCGTCTTAAACAAACATTCTCTTCACAAAGTCATTTCATGTAGACATCTCTAGAATAGCAAAAGTTAGGTCAAAAGAATAGACCACGAAGACCGTAGAAGGATTTGCTCGACAATCACGTCATAGACGTCGCCATATTCGCTTATTTCAACATTTTAACAAGAATTCAAATAATAAACTTTGCTAGCCTTAAAAACTGTAAAACATTAATGTCCAAGTGTTGAGACTCCTACCACAACATATTAACGTACTTACATATGTAGGTATAATAATTTTACTATGTAAAGTCGTTGATTACAATAATACTTCTGCAGTTTTATATTCGCACATAAAATTATTATTGAATACCTATTTTAATATTTCGAGGAGTCCAACAGAAACAATCTTAGGAACGAGTTTGAGTACCTGACCTGGCTTAAACAATATAAAATAAATTAGTAATAAAATAGAGGAATGAAGCGTAAAAGATTTATATGAATATTAAATCTCTTAATAAAAACTGTTGATCTGTTTAAAGGGACCTTTTTATGAGGAAGTTAATTATAGTTTTAATATAAAACGATACCAAATTAAAAACTAGAAGCGGACGGATTAAAAAAAATGGTTTCGATATAAATTTGAATTATTTATGAGCCATTTAACAGTCGTTTAATACCGTCTATTTTGAATTAAGCAATTTTAAGATAGCGAATAAATGAAGTAATAAAGAAGTTACACTTAAATTTAAAAGAAACAGAAGAAGTTACAAACGCGTAGTACTTTTGTATGTACGTAAAATAGTCAGTTTCGAAATAAGCTGAACAAATAAATAACGGCGATCGACTATTATACTACAACAAATAAACACACCAGTGTTTAATGACTTTCCCGTATCGAGATGACTAAAAACTTGAAATTTCGTTCTTGTACTTAGTACTTTGATAAAAAAGTTTTGAGGTAAATTTGCTTATAAATTGAACTGTTAAACGATTTTCTTTGCTAACTGTATTTGGGAGAATATATCAGTCTACGAAGGAAGATTTCAATATATTTCATAATTTATATTATCGATTAATTACACCATTTTCATAAATAGATTTTTCAATGTGATCTTGTCTCGTCCGTGTGGTGACGGATTAAGAATACGGAATGTCATCACCCCTATTCATCTCGTGGGTGTCGTAAGAGGCGACTAAGGGAACAAACTGCAAAAAGAAGGAAAACTTGAAACAAACCCTATACTAACCCGTCTGGCCAGCGTGGTATAGTAGGCCAACCCCTCCTTTCTAAGGAGAGGCCTATGTTCAGCAGTGGACTAGTAATGGCTGTTGATGATGTGATCTTGATAAAAAGTTGGCATAGAAGATTCGATTACATTTCTATATTAAGTTTTAAGTGGATAGTAATAAGAAGTTGCCATCACTTCAGCACGAATTCTAGAGAAATAATAAGTTGTAACAATATCTATCTGTAAGCGAATGAACTCTTTAGGTTTAAAAATTCAACCGTATATTTTTTGTGTCAATTCAATTTTTTTGTGACTCAGAATATTTCAGTTGCAGTAGGTAGTTACTATTGCTACCACTAGATGTCGCGCACTAGTGAAGAAAGCAAAGCCTCAGATAATTCAAAAAAGAACAAAAGTTAACACTGAAAACAACCTCGGTTTGGGGTGTCGTTAACGATTTAACACCATACACTGATTTAGGAGCGTGCCATTTTGAACTACCTGTGCACGTTGTTTTTGCCACATGTTTAGATGCAAAGCATGCCATATTGTACTGTGCACGTTGTTGTTTTCACGCCTTTTAATTAATTTTGATGCAAAGCGTGCCACCTTGTATTACCTTTGTACTTCTGCAAAGTTAGTACAAGCCATCACGCGTACCATCGTCGCATTGTACATTACTGCAATTTAGTCCCCATTTATTTGTGACACATTATAATTGTATTATTCTTTTAATCTGACAAAAATTGTAGTGTCCGGGGTGGTCAAACTCTCGAGATCCATTTAATTTTATGACGCATCTTATTTTTATGTTCGGATAATGCGTGAAACGGATGATTTTATAACGACAACATATCTTAATGATCGGATTAGAACCCTTCTTTATCCTCATTGATTTATCTCATACCACGTGGCTTTTATTAGTGTAAAAGCTACATTTTTGAGTAACGGAGTCATACCAAACGAAAAGATTATAATAATATTTTTGTATATTGTTCCAATACTGGTAAATATTGCTTGGTGTGAACTCCATCATACCAAACCTTTTTGACGAAATGGTAACTACTCGTTTTCATTAAGGATACCTAAATTAATGTTTATACATACGCAGTACGCACTGCATTGACTGTCATCTCTTTAGAAATGACTTTCTGTATATATAATTAAGTCGTACTTTCTTGTGTGTTAATAACAAAAGTATTGCAAATATGTTTAGAGCGATTGTTGGGCTTTGCGAGAAATTAGCATGTCGTCGCTCAGAGCTGTGGTCATCCCCTCGCCCCCCGTTGTGTGTGCACAACTATGTAGAGACACATACAAAGCTATGTCTGTGTGCAAATATGCACCCACATACGGTGTTGCCAACGTTGTTGAACAAAAGTGTAAAGAGTTGCAAAATAAACTCATTACCTGAATTAAATAACTAGTTAATTATTAAAAAGTACTAACGAAATAATTAAATAAATTAAAAAATACTTAGTTTACACGATCTCACTGTGAGTATTCGTAACGTTTAAAAGTAGGTAACATTTTTAAATCATACCACGTGGTTTCTTCTATGAAGGGCTAAGGTTAGCCAAATGGCATTAAAGTCTAATATAAATTACTTGTTACTTAAATGGTAGAATAAATATTATATTGATTGGCAGTCAACTCACGCGAATAAAGTTGTACATTAATCTTCTAATATGAATGCAAGTACTGCCTAGAATACATACATAGATAGAAAACATACATAGGGGTATACATACGTAAGGGTAGTTCATTATTTGAGGTCTGTGTTTTATGTCTGAATAATTAATCTATTCGTAAAGTGCCCATCACACAAATATGGTTGTACTTAAAAAAGCAGTAAATAGCTAAATAAAAGTGTCAGATCTGTCGTTGATAGCGTTGGCAACACTACCCACACTTGCACACAGAGAGCGTTGACCGACCGTTTGTTAGTCTGTACACCTGCAAATACACTGGACTCCGTTCGCGGGACCAATAAATGCATGTTCCATGTAGTGTGCGTTCATTAACCACCTTATATGGTGAAAATCTTTAGTTTGTGAGCGTGTTAACATACGATCTTTATGTCTATGTGTTAATGTTACATGGACTGTCTAGAATTTAACTTGGCGTTTATATTTGATGTTAGGTATTTCTTAAATTGAAATCGTATGCAGTTCCATTTTAGTATGTCTTTACTTATTTAATAACTACTACTTAATCATGCGAATTTGCTGTCATATATTTTAGCTTACGATAATTTATTGGTACTATTCGGTACTTACACCGTTTTTACGAATTCGTTTAACGAACATGGTATAAAATGTAGTTTGAGAAAAGTAGGTATACATTTTCTGAGAATAGTTTGTGCTTAGTAAACGATAACCCTTGAATCTAATATTCTTCAAGATTTCCAGTAGATGGAATATTATTACACTAAATACTT